ATTCAATGCAATCCTTCAAAATATTTTGTATGAAGAATGACTGCAAATGTGTATGAGGTTTCTTTTTGTAGTTTTGAAAATGATTTAAAATTGGATTATAGTGTACGTTGAGTTGTATACTTCAAACTGGCCAAGTTTATGGTGTGTAAATTAAATCTCAACAAAGAGATTTTCTCAAAAATATTGTAATGTTTATAAAGCCATGACCCACATAGTTCGGTCCCAGCCAAAATACCCAAGTTCACTGCAAACCAGTGGGAAAATGGGTGAAGGATGGATTGATTATTCGATATAAGGTATGGAAAATATACAGTTGGATCCCTATCTCACACTTGTTATCAGAAACATTCTAGGGACACCTGGGTGGCAGAGTTAAGTGTCCAACTCTTGGTTTCAGCTCAGGTCATGATCTCAGGGTGGTGAGATTGAGCCCTGCATGGGGCTCCACCCTCAGTGCAGAGTCTGCTTAAGATTCTCTCTCTCTCTCTCCCTCCCCTTCTCGCTCTCAAATAAATAAATAAATCTTCAACTGAAAAAAAAAGGGGGGGGCGCCTGGGTGGCTCAGTCAGTTAAGCGGCTGCCTTCGGCTCAGGTCATGATCCCAGGGTCCTGGGATCGAGCCCCGCATGGGGCTCCCTGCTTGGCGGAGAGCCTGCTTCTCCCTCTCCCTCTGTCTGCCGCTCTACCTACCTGTGCTCTCTCTCTCTCTCTCTCTGTTAAATACATAAATAAAAATCTTTAAAAAAAAAGAAAAACATTCTAATGGGTCAAATATTAAATGTGAACAAATGAAACAACAAAAGAACTGAGAGTGGGGAAAATCTTTTTATTATCTTGAAGTGAGGAAGGCCTTTTAAAAACAATAAATTGAACTTCAAGAATGTTGGGTTTTTTTAATATTTTATTTATTTATTTGAGAGCAAGAGCATGAGAGAGAGAACACGAGAGAAAGAGAGAGTCTAAGTTGGGAGGGAGGGACAGAGGAAGAGGGAGAGGGAGAAGCAGACTCCCTGCTGAGCAGGGAACCCCCCCTTGACATGGAGCTCAGTCCCAGGACCCCAGGTCATGACCTGAGCGAAAGGCAGATGCTTAACCGACTAAGCCACCCAGGTGTCCCAGGAATGTTTTTACGATAAAAATATTTTTAAATGCTTTGAACAAAATGAAAAGGCAAACTGGGAAAAGCTATTTGCTGCTCATGTCATAAACTATATACAGTATGTGTGTGTGTATGTGTGTGTGTGTGTATATATATATATATATGTATATATATATATATATATACTGATAAGAGAAAATCTCTTAGCTACCTGAAAAGGCTAGGTACAGAAAGTTGCATATACCGTGCCAACATGGGGAAGAAGGACACACAATAAACTAGCAACAGTGATTGCCTCTAGAGAGGGAAACTGCATGTCTGGAAGACTGGGAGGAGGGAGAAGAGATTTATTTTCATCGCATACACTTTTTTTAATTTTATAAATGTGCATGTTCTATCTATACCAAAAAAAGTAAGTATTTAAAATACTTCTAAATACTCTAGACTATGCAAAATTAAAACAACTCAAGTCTTTTGTTTGTATTTTTCAAACACGGTGAAAGGGACCCACAAAACTCCAGAATATTTCTTTAAGTCTCTCTTTTCTCTTTCCCTTGTAATAGTCTCATAGTCCATTCTCTCTGGTTCTTCATCTTGTTTTTCACAAAACTCAGAACTGCCCCCCAAAAAATCTCCTTCCTTGCCCACAACCCGAGTTTTTTGTGCCAAACACGGTTCTAGATGATTGTAGAAGTCAATGACTAAGACAAAGTCCCTGACCCTCATGGAGATTACATCCTAGCAGATGGAGATATACAGTATTTTTAAAACACAATAAAGGTAATAATAATCTAGTAAGTTAGAGGTGGTGAGTACAAAGAAGAAGAGAAAACAATACAGCAGAATGGGGGAGCAGTCAGGAGGTATGAAAGGCGATTGCAATGTTAAATACAGTGTAAGAACTGGTGTCAGGGAGAGGGTGGTATTTGAGCAGACTCACACAGGAAGATGAGAGAGTGAGACATGTAGACACTTTGGGGCAGAGAGTTCTAGACAGAGGGAAGAGACAGTATGAATGCCTTAAGGCAGAACATGTCTCACTCTCTCATCTGAATTCAGTCACTCTGAATTCCTTGGTGTTTCTCAAAGCGACTGGAGCTGGAGAGTGGGAAGGAGAGAAGAGGAAGATGAAGTCAGAGAAGTAAGGAGGTTGGGTGTCCAATCAAGGAGAGCCTTGAAGACCATGTACCATAAGGCTTTTGACTTTTAAGAAAAACGAAGAACCATTACAGGGTGATGCCACTGTAGTTTTCCGTTATACCCTGCAGCCCTTTGTTATCCTAGTAAATTGAGTCCCAAGACTCAAGTGGCCACTTACCACCATGCTGTCGTCATGCATCAGGCACCACATCATGTTGGTGTTCTGATGAGGATGGTTAATGGATAATCATTTTGAGTGCCTTTCAAAAATTCTAACTGGGTGGGATGGGGGGTGGGGAGGGGAGAGTGCCTGGGTGGCTCAGTCAGTTATGCATCCAACTCTTGATTTTGGCTGGGGACATGATCTCAGGGTTGTGAGATGGAGCCCTACTCTGAGCGTAGAGCGTGCTTAAGATTGTCTCTCCCCGCTCTGCCCCTCCTCTTGTCCCCTCCCTATCTAAAAAAAAAAAAAACTAACTGGGGATGCTTCCAGCATTTAGACTACAGCACAGACAATATTCTAATGCATTTGTCAATGAAAGGCAAACCATTTGTTCAATGAATGCATCTGTTTCAGTTGTGTTCATTTTTACCTTCTTTGAGCACATTTTTGCCTGGCTATTGGAAATATTAATATCCTTCCAAGCGCATCTTTAAAATTTCTGCTTCTTCTACCCACCATAAACTGGACCTTACCACAAGCTTCTTTATAGACTGATCCCTGACTATGGGCGTGCTTGTGTTTTCAGCATCCACCAGTGTCTGAGATGCCACTGCCCAAAGTGCCTTCTCTCCACATAATTTCAAGTCCCTTGTAGAACCAAATCCTGACCTTGGCTACAGGATCACATTCCTTGTCTCTTTAAACACCTTTTTATGAGTATCTCCTATGAGCATGTTCTTCTCTTTCAAATTCCTTCTCAAAACCTCCCTTAATCAGTTTTTTACAAGAAAAAGCTAGCAATTTAATCACTGTAGTTTGTTTTAACTGTGGCAGGGGTATGGATAGAATGTTCTTTACTTTTTTTTCATCTGGAACACCCTCGAAAGGGCTGGTATCTTTATGAGATCCTCTGGGCGTCTCAGAAAGTGCCTTAATCCCAGTTGAACAATGGGATCAGTAATTTTGAGTTTGTGCTATGTTATAGCAGACAGTACACAGCAAAAATGTTCTCCTGGAGTTGAGGGTGGGGGAACGTGCAGGGAGAGACACTGGTGACATGGAGATTTGGTCAAGGATACAGAGCCTATATTTGGGTAAGTTGCCTCAGTTTTTCACTAATAAGATTTCTAGGAATCAGATTTATTTTGAACCACATGTGCACACTGTGCTTTTCTCAGTTTGTCATTCCTATGCTCTGGCAAATTTCTAGATCTAATTCCAAGATGTTGCAATTTCCTCATGGGTATCATAAAACTGGTACAGTGTGCCTGGTTAATTTTCTGATGTGGTTGTCAAAAAGCAAGAAAACTCCATCTGATTTTTTTTTCACATTTTATGATAATTTCCTTTGGGCAAGTACATGCCAGGCATATACATCAAGCGTTGTTGAAATTTCTTATTAAAGCACAAGTTCAGCTATCCAAAAAGTATTAATTCACACTGCCCTAAAACCATGTGTATACATTGTCCCATCCAAGAAGCTGCTAATCCTAAGGATCATTTAGCCTAGAAAATCAAGTGTCCCAGCCTATGCTACCCACCCCTTAGCTTATATACCAAATGTCATGCTAATAAATGATCCGTCATTCTCAGGATCCTATTTGTGGAGGGAAAAACCAAGTCCTATCAAATCATAGCTGAAGAGACCTGTTGTCTGCTTCCCTAGAAGCACGTGACACCATGCATGGTTTAATTTCACTCAGCTCTTTAACTGAGCCTTGGTGCTCACAGCTTAATGATTCACCAGGGCATTGTATCCTGCAGATTTTAAATTAAAGTTTGAGACCCCCCCTGCAGGACATGCACAGTACTCGAATTAACACTAATTGGTTTTACACATGATTATCAAGTGAAAAACATGGTTTTCCTGAGAATGCCTCTTCTTTTCTCCAGCCTTAAGAAGCCCATAAATTCTAAGGGAACGATCATAGATGCACGCAAAGACTAGATATACCAATGTCTAGCATAGTGTTTATATTGGCAGAAAACTGGAAGGAAATATCTACAATGGAGAATCATGTACATAAAGGATAATGGAGAAAAATGCAACTTTTTTTAATGTTATGAATAATTTTTGACATGGGAAGATGCTCATGATATACTGTTAAGTGAAAAAAGTTGAAAAAATACAAGAGTGGCATAATATCTCTTTCCTCCACAGCATAGAAAGACCAGAAGGATGTGTGTATCAAAATGTAAATTATAATTATCTCTAGTGGTGAGAATAATGTTAATGTTTATCTTATTCATAAGCATTTCTAATTTTCTAAAAATAATGCATTATTTTTGCAAAAAGAAAGCATTATTTTTCAAAATCCGTCATTGACCCTACAGGAAAAAAAAAATGCAACAAGTGGCTTCATTTTGAAATTGTTTAAATCAATCCTTCATCTCCACCAACCCTTCTGTGGGGTACTGAGAACTCTCTATAAGTAATGTGTTAATAGTTTCCAAGGGAATTATGAGAGTAAGCTGGGGTTTTATACATGCGCGGAGAGGTGAGCACTGGAGTGAGTGACTGCAGATGCCCATTCTCGTGTTCATTTATGCCAAAACTCCCACCAAGGGTGCACTTATGTCCCTGTGTTTCTCTTCCAGAGCCAAAGATGTTTATCTTGCTCTATGTTACAAGTTTTGCCATTTGTGCCAGTGGACAGCCTCGGGGTAATCAGTTCAAAGGAGAGAGCTACTCCCCAAGATATATCTGTAGCATCCCTGGCTTACCTGGACCTCCAGGACCCCCTGGAGCAAATGGTTCCCCGGGGCCCCATGGTCGGATCGGCCTTCCAGGACGAGATGGTAGAGACGGCAGGAAAGGAGAGAAAGGTGAAAAGGGGGCTGCAGGTAATGAACAATGAAGTTCCCTAAACTCTGCTCCTCTGTGCTCAGTGGGGAGTCTGCTTGGGATTCTCTCTCTCCTCTCCCTCTGCCCCTCCCCCCGCTCATGCTCGCGCATTCTCTCTCTATCTCTCAAATAAATAAATACATCTTTAAAAATAAATGAATAAATAAACACCTCTGGTTCACCCCCACCTTAAATTGTTTCCGTTCTTTGTTGCCTTTTCTAATGAGAATTGCTCCTGAAATCCCTTCTCTACTTCACTTTCCTTAATCGTAATTAATACTGAGCCCTCACTATGCCTTAGATACTGCTCGAGAAACTCTTTACCTGCAACCTTATTTTATTGTAATGACAACTCTTTCAGTGATCCCATTTTACAGATGAGAACACAAAGCAATAACATGGTGAAATTAATTACTGAAGAGGGAAGTTCACTGCTAGTGAACAGCAGAGCTGGATTCAAACATTGATGCCCAAGACCACAGGGCAATCACAACTAGCAGGCAATGTCTGGATGTGCAAGGGCATGGATGGATAGCAGACAGATGGACAAGGAAGGGAAATGGACAGACGAAGCAGAGACAGGAATCAGGAACCAAAAGCACAGGTGCCATCCTGCTCTGCGCTAATATCCAGAGCAAAGTTACATAAAAGACTTCTAGATTTTACTTTTCAGAAATGAAATGACAATAGTACTGTATAGCCCACCTTTCCTGGCTCATCTCTTTCCCACCAGTCCTGTAACAGCTATAAAAAGTAGATTCTTATAGCTCTTTACGGCAACACAATAGCCCTCTACCACTTCAGTAATTTTTACTTTTTTCTCCACAAATAAGTTGGGCCAGGAAGATTGCCAGACCCTGCAATCCTTCAGAGTAAACCAAATTGAAATTCTAGAGAAGCCGGGTTAACTCTAAAAGAGGAAGTGATTTGGCATCAATCTTTGAAAACAAGTTTCTGAGTGTAAAGCCTTGCACAAAAGATAGGAAGAGAAAAGTTAATCCATTCTAAGAAATAAGTCTCTATCTAGTCCTTGCACCTGATTTACTGGTGTTACATGAAACAGTAGCACAATATATATGCAATTTACCGGATAATAATTCATTTCTGAATTTGTCATGCAGAAAATACTTGGAAAATCGGTAGCTACCAAATGTGTATGAATATTGTTCAATATTAGATTAAAAAAACCTTTAGGTAAAGGTTCAGCATCTTATCTATTGTAACACCTATGAATATAACTTACTGCTGTGTCATGATCATGAATAGCCTTGAAATCCTGTAAGAACACCAGGATCAGAGTTACATATGACCAACATTTTTAGTTTACTGTGTCTGGAAGCAATAATGTAATGCTTACCCAAGAAGGCAATGGAGTCCGTAGGATTTAGGCTCAAATCTTGGCTCCTTCAATTACTAACTTAGTATCCTTGGGCAAATAGCCGCTTTTAGCCTCAGTTCCCTCATTTGTAAATTGGAAGTAGTAAGGCTGATTGTGATGATTAAAAGCACAATAATACATGCAAAACACTTGGTAGAAAAGCTGCCATGTGGTAAGCACTCAGGAAATGTTAGCTGTCATTACATACCACACAGTGCTCTGCAAACATGAGTCATAGCTAAGTTCCTGAATATCCAAAGTCATATAATAAACTAGAAATGAGTGATGGGTTTCATGAGGTAGTTCTAGTGTCATTTAAAAATAGGTATGCGGCTATGCATTCAGATTAAATTGAATGTTCATAATTGCTACAGTTTTAACCATAAGAGGCTGGCTACAGCCCCATATTCGTCTATCCACCCATGCATTATTCTTCAACAAGCTTCTTGTGTACATATTGCTATCTGGTATTATTCTACACCAGTGTTTCTCAACCTCCACCCTAATGACATTTGGGGCCAAATAATTAGTTATGTGGGATGGCTATCCTGTGCATTGTAGGACACTTAACAGCATCCCACTAGATGCCAGCGGCATCCCCACCACCGAAGACAACAAAAATGTCCCCAGACTTTGCCAAACATCCCTTGGTTGGCAGTGTAAAATTGTCCATGGTTGATTTTACTGTTCTAGACAACGAGAACACAAACATGAATAAGACATTGTCCTTGCCTTGATAAACAAACATGGGGGTGTGGGAGGCCAATATAGAAACATATAATTATAATATTCATCATCATCATCATAGCCATTTGTTAAGAACTGTGTCAGGAATTTTACAATTAGTACTTAATGTCTACCATAACCCTGTTAGAAGTCTTTATAATCAACAAAAAAGTTACAGTGAAAATATTTAAATTAAAAAATAAAATGACTCCCCAACCTGCGATGACTTAAATCCAATATACACAAATACACACATATAAGGATCTGTAACAGCCAAGAAAGGTAGGAATGCCTTTGTGATCAATGAAGAAAAATACATCCCATTTACAAACAATAGTAACGGAGCTCTGCAGCTTTAGGGACAAGCTTTTAATGCAGCTGGAACTGGACACAACATGGGTGGTAGCCTTTGATTCTTCTGTCCCCTTGAATGACACCACATGTTTTCTCATTCATGTACCCTTGGTAAACATGCCAATTACATGCATCCAACCAAGTGCAAACAGAATCAAGCATAGTTTTTTCCAATTTCTCTACTTTAAATTACAAGTACAGAACTTGTTATACCAAATTAGAAATTTTCTGTTAAAAATATCTGCCTCCCTCACTGGTCTGTAGCAATTACTCTTGTAGTATAATCTCACCATTTAACTTAATCTGAATGCACAACCCTATAGATATCTTCAAATAACACTAGAACCACCTCATGAAACAGATCATTCTAGTTTATTATATGGCTTTAGATATTCACGAACTTAGCTATGACCTATATTTGCAGATCACAGTGTAATACATAGTAACAGCTAGCTTGAGGGTGGAACACGTGTCATTCATGTCAGGGTCCCACTCAGCTCATAGCATAGTGCCTGGCATTTAGTGGATGGTCAATCAATATTACATGATTTAGATGTATGTATGCATGCACACATAAATCCATGGATGGATGGATGGATGGATAGATGGGAGAAAGAAATAGCATTGAAGAAGAAATCTTTGCAAGCCCATTTCCTAGAGAACTAAGAAGAAATCCTTAGTCAGTACCTAAGTGTAGACTAACCACTATTCCATAATTGTCCTCTCTACCCGAGCATATGTCTAACTGAATAGGAAGAGGGAGAGTGATGTATCCCTTCTTTCCATTATTCATTAATTGGCCCTTATCACAGGTGTAAATCCTTCATGCAAACAGGAAGAATTACTTCAAGTTATTATAGTTAATCCTTGATTATCTAATTCAATAACCATAGAAAATCCAAATGCTGAGATTGGACTTAAATCCAATTCTTCATATTACAAGTGGAGTATTTGAAACACAGACAAGAAGTGACTTGGCAAAAGTCATAGAGGCAGGAGGACTGGAGTACATAATGAAATTTAATAGTCGAAATTGTTGCTGATGTCAAAAAGTTTTTTATTAATATGTCAAAATCACTCATGGAGACAGCAAAAGTTAAGCTCCTATTGAAAATAAAAATAACAATTTAGAAGTTGTGGTCCTTGATTCACAAGTAAATTCAACAGTAAAATAGTATTCATATTTTATTTCTACCAAAAAGAAGCAAAAGATCAGACTATCATGGCCTTATTTCAAGAAATATACCAGAGTATATTCTGGCTGGGACCAGTGGAATTTCAACTTCACAACAAAAGCCACCTAGAGCTTGAGGACAGTTCTGTGATCAGTAATAACACTGATCCCATCACAAAAAAAAAAAGGTTTCATTCATTATTAGAATCTGCTGTGCATCACAAATTGCTAAACAGCCTCTTTCCCAAATTATGAAAGCAAAATTCTGTATGTTTTAAGGGTAAAGCATTAATTCTCCTCAAATTTACATTATCCAGAACATTTCATTCCTACATTTGCCAAATCACTGAAAAATAATTAAGCTCATACACTGATATACATGTAATATTCAAATAAAAGAATATTTTCTTTTATTTGAGCACTATCAAGATAAAAAGACTTAATAAAATTCCTGAGAACAAATACATAGTTAAGAGTGAAACTACACAGTATATCAGTAATATATTTTCCCTGACTACAAAAGTACATCACAAATTACCAATAATTTGGATATTTTTTGAGGGTATATCATTATACAAACATTATTTATGGAATGGATTTGACCATAAAAATTAAATGACATTTTCATGCTTTGTTATTATATATATATGGTTTAAAAATTAAATAAATGTTGCTTATCCCTTTCAACCAATGATCACAATTTCTCTTCATTTAGCCTATGGTTGATCTGTAGTTATAAAGATTTGGACAAACAAAAAATATTTCACTGTGGTGATTTTGAATTTGTTGAAATCCTTTCACAGATATTATGTCTTTTCTATATATAAGGAGACCCAGAGAAATTAAGGGACTTGCCTAAAATGATACAACCATTTAGCTGCAGAGCCAAACAGAATTTAGGATTCTTGATTCCAGCCCCACAGGTAAGAGGCACTTTGATGAAGGGGAAGCATCATTACACTAGGACTTGGATTCCAGTCCTAGCCTTGCTTCAGAAGCGAGTTTCTTCACCTTTCTGGGACTGTTTTGTCCTCCAAAAAAGAACTACTACATAGTGGTGGCCATCACTGTTGTTTGGTTATTGTAGCATATTGAGCCCTCACTATGTGCCAGGTGCACTTTACAATGTACACTCTAGCCCCTGACCCAGAGGGATGCTCAGGCTCCAGAGTCAGGCAGGCATGAGTTCAGGTCACAGCTCCATCACTTACTAGCTATTTTCTTGAGCAAACTAACTTCTCTGCGGCTCAGTCTCCCCATCTGCAATGAAAGCAATAACAATTTCCTAATCCATAAAGTTGTTTCAAGACCTAAAGAAGACAATGCCTGTGAATAAAGTGCTGTCCCTGGTACATAGTAAATGTTGAATAAATACAAGCTAATCTAATTTTCATTAATCCGTGTATTATTAATACCGATAGAAGTAGGAGGGGGCATAAGAAAAAATAGCCTCTAAGGATTCATCTGGTTCTCTCTGCCCCCATGACCTCACTCTGGGGAATAATATCATTATGCTCGTTGAATTTCCCCTGTAGTGACAAATACTGTATGTGACTGATTTTGTTGCAAATGATCCATCATCAAAACAGCATTTAAATGATTGCTCATGTACTCAGGAAAACTCACCTGAAATTCTGATGAAAATTTTATATTTCTGTTTTAATGCATCAGCGATTTTTTTTTTTAAAGATGCATTAGTATTTGGTAGTGTACTGTTGAAAGTTGATTGGGGAAACACATTTCGGGTGTGCTGGCACTATGTGGGGCATGCTATTTGTGACTGTATATTTGGAGGAACCGTTAATTAAACTGTAAACTCTTTTTAAAGGTTTGAGAGGCAAGACTGGACCCCTGGGCCTTGCTGGAGAGAAGGGGGACCAAGGAGAGACTGGGAAGAAAGGACCCATAGGACCAGAGGGAGAAAAAGGAGAAGTCGGTCCAGTCGGGCCTCCTGGCGCGAAGGGGGACAGAGGAGAGCAAGGGGACCCAGGGCTGCCCGGAGTCTGTAGGTGTGGACGCATTGTACTCAAATCTGCCTTTTCTGTTGGCATCACGACCAGCTACCCAGAAGAAAGGCTACCAATTATATTTAACAAGGTCCTCTTCAATGAGGGAGAGCATTACAACCCTGCGACAGGGAAGTTCATCTGTGCCTTCCCAGGGATCTATTACTTTTCTTATGATATCACATTGGCAAACAAGCATCTGGCAATCGGGCTGGTCCACAATGGGCAGTACCGGATAAAGACCTTCGACGCCAACACAGGGAACCATGACGTGGCTTCGGGGTCCACGGTCATCTACCTGCAGCCAGAAGATGAAGTCTGGCTGGAGATCTTCTTCACTGACCAGAATGGCCTCTTCTCAGACCCAGGCTGGGCAGACAGCTTGTTCTCTGGATTTCTCCTATATGTTGACACAGATTATCTAGATGCCATATCAGAAGATGACGAGCTGTGATCTGGACTCATGTCCTGAATGTTCCAAGATTCTTGTGGCAGACGCTTTGATTTAATCTGGGGCCCTGGAAGGTGGAGCAAGCAGAAACGAGATCCAAAGAGACTCCCACTCAGATTCCAAAGCTCTTACAGAGAACTCTAGCAGCATCTATTAAAACAAGATGAACCACCAAATGGTTGAAACCACACCAAAATGAATTCTACAAAACAATAACCCCAGATAAGAATCCTCTCGAAAGCAATGTTCATAAATATTTAAACAAATTAAAGACAATGTTAACAAATTTTCTATTAAACTCCCTGAGTGATAAAATCAGCTGGCAATGATATTGTCTCATTAAATCTTCATAAAATTACATTTTTGCTTGCTACTTAAGAGAATCATAACACCCTAGACAAGGTCTTTAACAATTCTCAAAAGTCAAAAGCTAGAGGTAAGAGATACTGAGTAATTTCAGGCAAGCTAAAGTGAAGTGATAACTTCCTTTGTTTTATTATTTGTTCCTTCACACTCGCATATGTATTCACTCAACAACTCTTCAGTAGGCCTCTGTGACCCAGACACTGTGGTGGTGGGTCAGATTTAATAGTGAGTTAAAACAAAATCTCTACGTTCATACAGGCTGGTGTCTGATGAGCATACCATGAAATTCGGTGAGATGAGCACCTGACAGACTGACTCGAAGCTGGACGCACATGGGAGCTGCTCTATCCTGGAGAAGGGGGCCAGAGAAACTTTCACACATGGAAAAACGCTAAGCATTCTAAGTGGTGTGTGTTTAAGGAGGTGGGAGGAATACAAGGGAAATATGAATCAGCAGCTGTATTCACCCCATCTCACCCTCAAAACACCACTGGTATTTGCCATCAGAAAGGGGTAAAAAACTCAGAGATAGAGGGGGCCCGGGAGGGGTAATAGAAATGAAGAAAAACAAGTTACTGAGATCAGCCAGGAGGGCATTCTCCTAAATCCTTTAGCTTGACAGTTTCCCAAGACAATTATTATTCCTCTTAGCTTGCGCACAAATGAGGGCACTACTTTACATTGTCAGGAGGCATTATTTCTCATGGATTTCCAAGGTATTGAATTCAAGTAAAGTGAAACATATGTCCACTGATTTACAGTGAACTGATGGGGGTGAACGGGAGGAGGAGGGAGAGAGACCAGACGTCTGAGCAAATAACTGTCCCTTCCAAGCCTCAAGGCTCCCGCAGTCCAGCCATCTCTCGGGGTGGGCATCTGGTTCCCCACTGCAACACAGTTCCTCACCGTTCCATCCCAGTTAGGATTCCCTCCCATCTGCCACCCCCTTAGCTGACAGTCGTAGGATTCCCTCACTCTCTTCCTTTTTGGTGGCTTCTAATCCTCCTTCCATGTGTTCTCTCTTGGCCCATTCATTTGATAAACATTTTTATGCCTCCTCTGTGTGAGTCACCACAGGGTTCTGTGATGCTGGAGGAACACCAAGGTGAACACGGCACAGCCCCTGCCACCCAATTTCTAAGGACACGAGAAAGGAAATGACATGTGTACACATACACAAAATACCAAGAATTCTGGAAATGAGCAGGCTAAAATATGCTAAGTGTTAAACTGGACATAGAGACAAATGCTCTGGAAGAAATGCTGAGAGGAACAGGTTTACTCTAAAATTGAGGGGTGAGAGAGGAGGGCTTGGGAAACTTCCTCTGCCCCCTGCGCTTTCCATGGTAGGTGGGACGTAGAGTGGCCAAATTGGGGACAGAGGTAACAGGGACAAAGCATTAAAGTAAGAACAGAGACCCAGAAGAGCCTCAAATGCCAGCCTGACCAATGTGGACTTCATTTATGAGGAACCGTGGAGCACCTGTGTGCCCCAGAGGTGGGGACTGCCATGATCAGAGGTGCCATTGGCAGTGATTAAGTAGCAGCGTATAAGGGCAATGCTCACTTCTCCCATCCGCAGACCTATCTCCCATCATCTTCTTCTGCCTGCCATGCTTTGCCCATTGGTTGCTCTCCTCTGGAGTCGGGACACAGGTCTGGAAGGCCAAGAGCAATGAAAGTAGAAAAGAAGAGAAAGCAAAGGTGGTTTGAGATAGTCACCTGCTTCTACATAATAGCTGGACCTGGAAGGCCAGGCTACAGAGTGTAAAAAATAAAAAACAGCCAACAGCAGAAGCTCATCTGGGGAACATGAAAATATGGGCCCTTTGAAGACCATGGGATTTGCTGGAGAAACTCAAAATGGAGTTTTGTAGACAGTCATGACCCACAAGATTATTGTGTAATTTAAATTTTTTTCTGATCATGATCCATTCATGCATTCATTTTGTGGACATTGTTTACTTATCTTTTAAATGTTTCTTTCATTACAAAGTCTATTTTGAGTAGCCTTTTTAAACTCGTGCTTCTTCAGCTGGTTCTAGGCCCAAAAATGAATTTTATCTTGAAATATCTGGTGGGCTGGTGATAGGGACCAGAGAGCTAAAGTGAGAAAGGAAAGACTATTTTGGTATTAAAAGGATAAACTCCTTAAGCAAACATAGGTGTCTTTTATTCCTCAAAAAAGAAATGACAGATACCATTTATCCACATGTATGGGTATTTGTGTAAAAAAAAATAGATGACTGATTTTGGTTTAAAAAAATTCTAAGTCTAATTCCAATCATTCTTTGAAAGGGCTGACTTGTAATGAATATATATTAAGAGAGATTTATTAACTATATAATAACATCTTGTTCCAGAAAGGATTTAGAGTCACTTGCAAAGATAGATAAAACACAGAAAGAATGCCTTAGTCAGAATCAGGTGAGAATAAAAGAGCAAAACAAATTTTTTAAAAAAAGTGAGACCAACACAAAACATGTGTGTGCCTGTGTAGCACAATTTCAGGACACGTGTGTTTCCTTGTACCTGTGCATGCAAAAGGGCATTCCCAGGTCATTCATCATTGTGAATGATGTTGTTTGTGGTGATAAGAAAGTTCTATAAACTCTGAATATACTTCTTCTCTGCCACCCTCTGAAAAAAGATCGTGGACATAAAAATATTTCAGAAATCGGCTAACGTGTTGTCTGATACCTTCTTCTCTCTCGCCTTCTGTAGCCTCCACTTCCAGCAAACAACATCCACACCCACCCTGTCACCAAAGCCAAACCTAAGGGACATTGTGGACGTTGCTGTTCCCTTCCCCGCTGGATTTTGTTCAGTATAAAATCCTTAATGGTTCCAGCTCTTACATGTACAGTTCTGAGTCATTGCATCTTTCCATCCCCAATGCCAAGGTTTCATTTGTATACTCATCGTTACTTCCCCAGACGAGTAAAAACTTTCTAACTGACCCTCTGCCTCCAGATGCAACCCTCCAATCCATTCTCCACAAATACAGATACGATCGTGTCAATCCACAGCCTAAAGGCTAGCAATGGCCCTCCAATCCCTGCAGTACGAAAGGGGGCTGGAACTTTTGGGCATCTTGCTAATCTGGTATTCATTCCGTATCTTTTTTCTGGTATCCATACCTAATTTCCTTCTGAAGGACCACCGTCCTTTACATGCTAAGTCTTTGAGCTTCTAAATGGAATTGACTCGTATACTATATAAATCCCTGGCCTGAACAATCAGAGCATAGCTTTCCACTCACCAATACAATCGGTTCAGGCGACTCAATCAGAGACTGAGACTTTACTGGGACTTCTCTAAGAGAGAATCTCCTTCTTTCTCACTGGACTTGAGCCTGTGAGCCTCTATGAGCTATCTTACCATCACAGAGCATAATGGACCGAGACAGAGAGTCACTTCAAACATTAGACATGCTGTAGCCAGTCTTCCCTTGGACTTGTCATTTATGGTAGCCATTCCATTCCCTTTTTACCAAGCCCTTCTGAGGTGGGTATTCAAGCACTTGCAAAAGATATCCTACCTAATATTAATACAAACATCCTTTAGCAAGGCACATTAGGCCCTTTGGGATCTAGCCCCTGCTTACTTTATAGTCACATTGCCAAAAGTCACCACATGAAACCTATAATCCAAGCGAATGCAAGATACCCACAGTTCTAGGATGCCTTGTTCCTGTGTGCCTCAGAGCCTTTGCACACACTGTTTCATTTGCTCACCATGCCATTGCTGTCTTGTCTGCCTGCCTGGCTCACCTGTTAAGACTCAGCTAGGAAGTTTCTTCATTTTCTCTAATATTCCTCTTCCCCTGTGCCCAAGAGGAATCATACATCTTCCTAATGATCTGGGAACTAGTGCAATTACAATAGCCATAGTGAACAATTGGCACTATTTCGAATGCTTTACGTGGATTAGCTCACTTGGTCCTTACAGCAATTATTCTCTCTATTTTACAGATGAGGAAACTGAGAGACAGAAAAGATAAGAAATATGTTATCTAAATAGGGTCACAAAGACCCAGGCAGTTGAGCACCGGAGTCCGCTCTTAATCATCATGCTGGGTCCTTCTCCTATTACACACTCGTTCCACAGTTGTGCGTCACTGCGTTGCCCATATATTTCTTTTTTTTTAAGATTTTATTTATTTATTTAAGAGAGAGACAGACAGACAGAGAGCCAGCACGAGTGAGGGGAGGGGCAGAGGGGGAAGGAGAGAATCTCAAGCAGACTCCACACTGAGCACAGAGCCTGACGTGGGGCTCAATCCACAACCCTGAGATCATGACCTGAGCTGAAATCAAATCAGACGCTCAACAGCTGAGCCACCCAGGCACCCCTGCACTGCCCATATATTACTACATTTGGCTATCTATCCTATTCATCTTTTTATACCCAAGGGCTCTACACAGTGCTGGCCTTAATATGTGCTCAATAAAAAAATGTGATGAATTGATCAGTGCCAAGTTCTTTTTAGCCTCAGTCTTTACATGTGTTTCACAGACGAATTATTGCACTGTGGGAAAAGTGTCCCACTCCTCCATCTTCTTCCTTTGATGCCTGTAAACATCATTTTCTTCCTATTTCAGCTAAGCCCATCACAATCAGGACTGGCTCTTGCCTGATCAAAATATGCAGTGTGGCTCGACCAGGGGGCTCTGCAAACTCTAAGGAGACAAAGTTGCTCTAACCTCCCTTTCTCTACACAAGAAACAAAGACTAGCCCTGGGACAGGTGCTGAGTCTATGGGTCTGGTTTAGTTCTGCCGAGGAGAACTCAGGCAATCTTTTACATGACCATGTTTATCATCATGCTGAGAAAAATCAGGCAGCCTGAATTCCTCTCGGTTTTCCTCACAAGAGAGTCCCTATAGTTAGGACACACACACACACACACACACACACATTCTTGACCAGACTAATCCTGACAGAAGCCAGGAGCAAACAGGATTACACTGTGCACAGGCCTCCTGTG